ATAGGTCTACATTTCAGGATTAAAGAGCGATACATACATGTGTATATTTAATGAAAAAGACAATAAGTTCATTTACAAATAATGCGAAAAGTAAATATGATATTATTGGCATAGGACTGAATCTCTAAGATTCATTGAACTGTGTATATAAATAGATAGTTTCTTTACAATATATGGATTGACAATTGACATGGCCATATTAGACTTATCAATAGTGGGACTTGAAGAGAATATATACCTAAATTATTCTCATCGCGAAATTGCTGCACTATTGTCGATCTTATGTAAACTTTTAACTCACTTACTCAAACGCTTGTGGGGCGAACAACTGAATGAAAATGCAAGCATTTGGGGGTTTGAACAAACGATCATATGTTCCTGGTAAGGTTTACGGAAAGATCAATGCAAGAAGAAGACAAACAATAATCATAGTAATAAGTTTATTAAGATGTCGCAACACAACATCAGACAACATATAATACAAAGTAAAGCCACTCTTTCTCATCGATACCAAAATCTCCGTTCATCTATACCTAGACTCACCTACATAACTAACTGTACACTAACATAAGAACTATTCGCTTTACGATAAGATTATAATATTTAGAAACCTTAGAATGTGTATTAAAACATGCTATTACAAATGTCTGTTTAACAGTTATCAATATTAGCCACTATCACACCAGCAAGGTACACAGTCTTACAAACATTGTAAGGATGTAAGGATTGTTCGTCTAGAGGTACAAAGACAATATCACTTGCATAAAGTGACAAAGAAAATATCGCCAGCATAAAGTGACAAAGAAAACATCGTCTGCATATAGTCACAAAGATGACATCGTCTGCATAAAGAGACAAAGAAAATGTCGTCTGTATAAATCGACAAAGAAAATATCGTCTGCATAAAGTGACAAAGAAAATATCATCTGCATAAAGTGACAAAGAAAATACCGTCTGCATACAACAACAAAGAAAACACTGTTTGCATAAAACGACACAGAAAATACTGTCTGCATAAAACGACAAAGAAAACATCGTCTGCATACATAACTAACTGTACACTAACATAAGAACTATTCAATTTACAATAAGATTATAATATTTAGAAACCTTAGATTGTTTATTAAAACATGCTATTACAAATGTCTGTTTAACAGAAATCAATATTAGCCACTATCACACCAGCTAGGTACACAGTCTTACATACATTGTAAGGATGTAACGATTGTTCGTCTTGAGCTACTTCCATAGAGTGACAAAGAAAATATCGGCGGGATAACGCGAGTAAGAAAATATCGTCTGCATAAAGTGACAAAGAAAATATCGTCAGCATAAAGTGACAAAGAAAATATCATCTGCATAAAGTGAAAAAGAAAATATCATCTGCATACAACAACAAAGACAATATCGTCTGCATAAAACGACAAAGAAAATACCGTTTGCATAAAGCGACTGAGAAAATATTGTCTGCATAAAACGACAAAGAAAATTTCGCCTGCATAAAGCGACAAAGAAAATATCGTTTGCATTAAAAGACAAAGAAAATATCGTCAGGATAAAGCTGTAAAGAAAATATAGTCAACCTACAGCGAAAAAGAAAACATCGTCTGCATAAAACTATCAACACAATATCGTCTGTAGAAAGGTACAAAGACAATATCGTCTGCATAAACTGTTGCCTCACTAGAGGCTGCACCCCGTACTGTGGTCCCGTGGTCGTAGTTGAGGACGATGAAGGGTGGAGAGACGTATAGATGAGGAACTGTACCATCAGTTCATGCTCTACTGGTGTCGTGGTCCTCTGCAAAGGAGAATGAAGGGTTCAGAGACGTGTAGATGAGGAACTGTACCGTCAGATTAGGCTTCACCTTGTACTGTGGTACTCTGCGGGTGACGAAGAAGGGTGGAGAAACGTGTAGATGACGAACTGTAACGTCAGATTAGGCTTCACCTGGTACTGTGGTCCTCTGTGGGGGACGATGAAGGTTGGAGAGTCGTGTAGATGAGGAACTGTACCGTCAGATTAGACTTCTGTGGGGGACGATGAAGGGTTGAGAGACGTGTAGATGAGGAACAGTATCGTCAGTATAGGCTTCACCTGGTACTGTGGTCCTCGATGGAGGACGATGAAGAGTGGAGATACGTAGATAAGGAACTGTACCGTCAGTTTTGGCTTCACCTGGTGCTGTGGTCCTCAGTAAGGAAGTTGAAGGGTGGAGAGACGTGTAGATGTGGAACTGTTCCCGTCAGATTAGACTTATGAGGGGAACGATGAAGGATGGAGTGACGTGTAGATGAGGAACAGTATCGTCAGTATAGGCTTCACTTGGTACTGTGGTCCTTTTTTGAGGACGATGAAAAGTGGAGAGACGTAAATGAGGAACTGTACCATCAGTTTTAGCTTCACCTGGTGCTGTGGACCTCAGTTAGGAAGTTGACGGGTGGAGAGACGTGTAGATGTGGAACTGTTCCCTCAGGAGTCGCTCATAATCATGTAGGGGTAAGACATCCCCGTCGTTGTTGGAAGCACAAGGTACATCACTGAAGTCACGGGACAATCTCTCTGCCATCACAGTAAGATATTCACCACATCTGTAATTACAACATTACACTTACATTGCAGATAAAGTTGTCTTGCACAGAAGTGTATGTATGTTGCTTTCATGCAGTGTGGAACAGAAATCATCAATGGATTGGAAATCCTAAAAAAGGCAGTAATCATAGATTGCAATCCTCTCTTAACACATCGTACATTTGTTACATAGATCCAATTGCTACTTTCTCCGTCATTTCCACAGATAGTCTATACGGGCTTCGGTAATTCAGTTAGGGTCTAGTTTTCTGGTTTAAGTTGAGTAAATGGTGTTTAACACAGGAGATTGCAACTGGACACATATATGAGGGTTTGTTAACTGGTTATTACCATACCTAAGTCCAGCACTTAAGGTCAAACAATAAACTTATGTACCTTCTGTCCTGGTTTTCTGCAAATAAAGCAAAAGACAAACTTTTAAATTTCTAAACGGAAAGATTCGTCCACGTTTCCATTTACTGAATAACAGTTAGTGACTGAGTCCCTGTTAGCACAGTCCATCAATATCACCAAAACCAGAACACCTTCAATAGGGCTTCACACATTGTACCCATGTGGGAAATCGAACCTTGGTCTTTGGCGGGAACGCCTTAACCACTTGGCTCCCGACTGTCCCAATTACTGAATCAAAACAGCGTTTACAAAATATAATGGAAAAAAAAAGATTTCAGCATTTGAAGGTGAACTATAGACATGCCTGTTTGCTGTTTAACGCTGTATTCAGCAATATTCAAGCTAGATTACGATTGTCTGAAATAATCAAGACTTGACAAGAAAACCCAGTGATTGATATAATGAGCATCGATTGACGAAATTGGGAAACGGGGGTATACATGCATGGCCATAATCAGCCAACGTTTCCCACCTGTTATGACGAGCTTACAAATAGGTTGTAGAAGACCAGCTCTGACCTGAGGATGGATTGAAACTTACATTGCATTCAAAAAGATTCATATATTCATCGTACCTTTTACGTCCTTGCAGACAAGAACAGTAACTGCTGCCACCACAACTGCCACGGCAGTCAGCATAATGGAGTAGACAGCTACGATGGGGACGATGTCCTCTATGTTTGCATCACCTTCTGATATAAAACACAGTTAACACATATGTAATTAGTATGATAATTTATATGAGAACGCAGAGACGTATTTGAATGATAAGAAATGTTCTGTTAATATTCCTTGTTTGTTTTATTGCATATATTGGTTTTAGAACATAAAGAGGAAAGAGAGGAAGTTCTGGGGGGTTTTGTGTGTCTTTTTAGAATGAAACTGCGATCCTTTTATAAGCTAAGAGTCCTGTCTACATCGTATTTGAAACATAAAAGATTCGTCGTTTATATTCCTTATTCCTCTCAGTGCGTAGATACTGGTTTTAGGACATTAGGAGGAAATACTATTTGTGTCTACTTTTTCAAAGAAACTACGATTCTTTATACGCTACTGGAACCCTGTCTGCATCGCATAACGCAACAAAGGAAGCAAGCAATGAAGATGGAAGAATCATTCTTGATGTATGACGGGAAGTATGACTGTTACAGCTGTCAAGGCCAGTGGATCTGTTTCCCCAACATGGTAAATCACCGAATCGTGGTTATGTACATGGAAATTAAGAAGTGTCATAAGTATTATATATATAATAAAACGTATTTGACTTAGGAAATGTTTATTTACGGTATATTAACTTTTCTATGATGGGTATTTGAAATCATATAATCGGTATTTTCTATTTCCTTGAAATATTACACCGTAATCTTGACGATTTGACTTATATCCAATATATACGGGTTTTAGACACGACTTCTATTCCAGGCTTCTGGGCTTCAGACGGGAGATAGTTCGAGCTACATTCAATCGACATATCAGTACCATACACTCACAGTTCGAGTTTCACAGCCGTTACACATCATGCTTGTAGTTAACCTTTAGACACCAACCTTCTATTTCCTGGTAGCTCCCGTCGGTTTCGTCTTCCCTGTGATACGAAACCAAGCTGATAAAAATGAGTATTAAATTTGAGTAAAATGAAAGGAAATTATAAAGCTGTGACACACTCTCAATTAACATCGCTCCGAATCGTGCATAGTTTTGCTCTGATGGCTATGTCGGTTTGTTTGTTGTTTGACGCCGCACTCAGCAATATTCCAGCTATATGGCGGCGGTCTGTAAATAATCGAGTGTGGACCAGACAATCCAGTGCTCAACAGCATAAGCATCGATCTACGCAATTGGGATACGATGATATGAGTCAACCAAGTCAGCGAGCCTGACCACGGTATCACTTTTGTCAACTTCATACGACAACCATGGCTTGCTGAAGATCAATTCTATATCAGATCTTCAGCTATGTATCACTGTGTGAGATGAAATATTTATTCATCCTACTTGAAGATTGATGAAGATACTCACCGCTGATCAACGTATCGTCTCTCTGAAAGTGACAATGTTCAGCAGTTAATTATACATACAACTGCAAGGTTAATCACAGATGCCTGTATTATTGTGCACCGATCACATATCCGTACATGTTTGAATATAGTGCACTGGCTAGCAATTCTCGAAACTTCTTAAGTCCTACGAACTTCTTAATTCCATTCTTAACACATTGGCTACTATCAAAATTAAGAATTCTTAGGGCTACGAACGTTTCGAGAATAAGGGTCCTGATCTAGCACCGTAGACGCGATATAAGGACAGCTTCCGATACAAGTTTCAATAGAAGGCCAGTCAGTGAGTGAGTGAGTTGGCTTTTACGCGACTTTTAGCAATGTTACAGCAATATCACGGCAGGGGACACAACAAATAGGCCTGACACATTGATCCCATATCAGAAATCGAACCCGGGCCTTCGGCTTTAACGCTTTAACCACTGGGCTACCCCAACGCCCAAGGTCACTCGGAGCTAATAGTTATGATAGGCCTTTAGTTTTTCTATGTTGACAGATAACATTCCAAGACTGTTTAAGGTACATACCATTGCCCATTTCATAATTCGCTATGGCCTATTTATCTGAACTAATTCATGGGACGTTTAAGGGTCTACGATGACGTACAACACCAACCTTCTATCTCCTGGTAGCCCCCTTCTGTTTCTGCGTCAAGGATGTATGTGACAACGCTGGGGGGGGGGGGGGAGAAATGTAGAAAGTAGATTGCAAATACTGTCAACTATTTACGCAATAACCTGGAAGGATAGCAGATACTGCCAACTGTTCACCCCATAGCCTGGAAGGATAGCACACACTGGCAACTGTTTACCCAACAGCCGTCGCATCTGGATAGCAGATACTGCCAACTGTTTACCAAATAGCCTTGAAGGATAACATATACTGCCAACTGTTTGCCCAACAGCCGTCGCATCTGGATAGCAGATACTGCCAACTGTTCACCCAATAGCCTTGAAGGATAGCACATACTGCCAACTGTTTACCCAACAGCCGTACCATCAGGATAGCAAATACTGCCAGGTGTTTACCCAATAGCCGTTGAAGGATAGCACATACTGCCAACTGTTTACCCAACAGCCTTGAAAAAGAGCACCTACTACTAAGTTTAAATTTACCCATTTGCCTTACCCACTGGATAGTAGATACTCACCGACTATGAATGTCTCCCCTTCCTGAAAGATATAATTGTGTAGATGCAAAATGTTAGATGAAAAATATATGATAAACGAATTGCTCGTATACTTGCATACCTTTGAAGTAGACATAAATAACTTGAAATTTGTAGAATGATATGTGACTGTCAGCTAAGTAACACTGGTGTCCTGAAGTCCTTGTTGGGATGGTAAGACTAGTGGTTAAAGTGTCTCCCGCTGGGATATTACTGGGATATTGCTAAAAGCGGCGTAAACATCCTCACTCACTCACTGAAAGCTAAAGACCATCAAATATGTAAATGTGTGCACACTATGGATTCATATCTCAAATGCCGTTCAAGCGTCTTGACGGTAATAAAAGAGAAATTATTCATATTTCTCAGGCTGTTCCAGCATCTTCACGGTTATATAAGAGAAGTGAAAAGAGTCTATGTTGGACTGAAACACACAGAAAAGAACTTGTCAAGTAAATAGCACCACAGTTTTAAGTAATTTACATCTAACTTCTCATCTAGTCTTATGACATAGATATTCAATTTTCACTCTATTTATGGGTGTGCAAGGTTTTGCATATGATCTCAATAATAGTGTGTCTTAAGGGTATAAACTCTTCACACCGAACACCTGGGTTCGATTCCCCACATGGGTACAATATCTGAAGCCCATTTCGGTTCTCCCCCGTCGTGATATTGCTCATATTCACTCACTATAAACTCTTCCTTAAAGGCTGGTCTCAGATTCAATTTCCCCACATTTACTTCCTGAATGAATACTAATAGACACCATCAAGGACATCTTTACATTTCAACAAAATCCACCACACGGACGTGAAAAATATGATATAGGGAAGTATAAATAGGACAAAATGATCATTTGAAAATGTATAACATGTCAATATATAGTGAAATGCTTGCCAGATAACGTTTTACTGAGTAACTGGGTGGAAATGGACATCAGATGCTACATACAGAAGTATTATTTATATTTTACAGTTATAGTAAAGACATTACATCTAAAAACATATTAGTATTGCTTAACGTTTGTATATGTGTTGATATACTGACCACCAATAGAGACGCAAATCAGAATTCATGAAAATTGTACTTTTTCAGCTTCAGTTTGGGTTTGATACTTTAAGACAAGTATGATGTGGTGATGATAAAGCATTCACCATGCAGGATGGTGTTCCAAATCATTAGGGAGAAACAAGCAAGGATGAAATGCATGACACACGTGCAGAGTGTGGACGTAGGGCTACAAATGCAGGCAGTGTCGTAATGCTGTCATTTCACCGCAACATGCCACGTGTAAGTGAAATGGAGAGACACCAAGCAATAGGCATGCTGAATGCTGGAGTTCGACAGCAACGGGTAGTGGCAACTGGCAGCGTTTCTGATCGCCCCGTTCCGGTACACCTTGTGTGACGTCACAAAGACATGACCGGATAATCCGACTTCAGCACCTCCAGAACCGTCTGCAGGCGGCAGTAAGCACTGCTAATGCCGTGATTTTGTCTATGGGGAGCCCTATCAGCGAAAGAACTGTGCGTTGACGACTCCTAGCGGCAGGCTTACATTGCCGTCGACCTTACCGTGGACCCATCCTCAGCAACAGACATCGACTGGAACGGCGCCGTTGGGTGACCAAACGAGGTCACCATGGTTAAGCCAATTCTTTTATACGGCTGCGAAATATGGGGTTTTGAAAACTGTAAATCTATAGAATCCGTTCATGTAAACGTTTTACGCAAATTCATTCCCGTTAAGAGAAGCACGCCATTATAACGCTATCTGGAAAACTTGGAAGGGTACCCCTAAATAACTCTATCAAATGACGCATGGAATATTTCTGGGATAGACTCCTATCTGGTAAAGAACAAAAGTTGTCAACAATTGTATACCAAATGTTATATAATGAAGCCTGCATAAACAATAGCAACAAAAATTAGATCAAATCCGTGGAAGCCGTATTTAATGAAACAGGCTATAGCATCTGCTGGGTAAGTCAACCAGCTGTCTTTCTCAATCAAATTAAAACTATTATCTCCTTAGGCTTAGATGATATAGCAACCCAAACATGGCGCGCAGAGATTTCGAGTTCTTCTCAGGGTACCATGTATCGCGTATTCAAATCTGAACTTGTCTTTGACAAATATCTCACATATTACCCTTTCTCCTTGGCTCTTAAATTTCGAGATTCAGTGTGAGTTTTGATTTCTTCAATTGCTTTTCTTTTGCTGGTCAGTATTGGTATATATCAGCTGTGGGGGTACAACGTATTCTGAAGTAACCATCCAACACGGCCCTCCCCGCCTACCTCACCCAAAGCGTTGTCCCACACTGTCATGTATAATTCAGTACATGTGTATATATATAGGAAGGGACGGTGGGGCAGACTAGTGGTTAAAGAGTCCGCAAGGCACGCCGAAGACCCAGGTTCGATGTCGCACTTGGGTACAATGTGTGAAGCTAATTTCTGGTGTCCCCCGCCGTGATATTGCGGAAATATTGCTAAAAGCGGCGTAAAACCATACTCACTCACATAAAAGAACGTGTCTATCTTTCTTATGCACTATCATCGTGTGACTGTTCATGTGAAAGCATTGGCCTTGCTATTCTATGGAGCCAACTATTTCCGGGTGACGATAGACTGAACACACACATCGATTGCGTCATGTAAACATGAGCATGTAGTTAATATATGAACCGCAACACGTTATTAAGTGAGATCAGTATTTGTAATTGCTGAACGAAAGTGCGAAAAGAGTGCTTCTGAGAGAGATAACTTTACGTGACTCTCGGGTTATCGTCATTCACTCTCAGATCACACCGTATTACCTCCACGTCTCTGTTTTCTACAAACAACAACGATGACGACAACGGCGATGACCACGATCAGGACGGAAAAGACAGCAGCCACGGGGACGATGGAAACGGCACTAGATTCAGTAACTCCACGTGCTGAAACATTCAATATGAACAATATTCAGTTCAGTATGCATACGAGTATAATCAGGTAACATCAAGCCTCTTCAGGAGGTTTTAACCCGATTCAAAACATATTAAATGGGTTGACACTTGCGATGTTCATCTGAAATAACCTTGCCGTGCCACGCTTTGTAAGTGATTGATGAGGTACGCTGTACATCCCCAACAACAACGTCATTGTCAACATCAGCTCCACAGAAGGACATGCAACGTCAGTGTTCTCATTTGTGCAGGGTGAAGAAACGGAAATATGTAACGAAAAGGGTCAAATTATATTCCTCATATAAATAGAGATTCAGGAGCACTGTATTCTGTAGGGCAGGTTTCTAATTGATTTTTTCGAATTAACGGAAACATTTGGGATTTGGAGAATCTCAAACTTAAGAATCACAGGAGTGATAATGCCATCAGATCATAGTGAAAATTAAATTCTTCATCAATATTACGGCTTCAAATGGTTAAAAAAAATTATTCTTCGAGTGCCACCTAAAGGGTCTTTGATTATTTTAAATCTCTGGGTGTTCTAGCAGGTGTTCCAGCAGGTGTTCCAGCAGGATCAGGTGTACGAAAACGGGGCCGTCCCAGCAGGAGTCATTCCCCAAAATAGGTTGTATATAACAGATTATATTACTGAAGTGTTGACTTACAGAAGACCGCCAGCGTCAGGTTCCGTGATGCACTCCCATGACTGTTGTTGACGTGACACGTGTACAGTCCAGACACAGGTACATCTACAGCTGGTAAAGACAACACAACCTTTCCCTGTCCTGTAATCACCGTCTGTCTGGAGATGTTCAACCAGGTTACAGTACAGGCAGGGTTACAGTCAGCAGAACATCTCACTGTTGCAGGTTTCCCTTCTTCTACCTCCAACTTGTCACTTGTGCCGTCAAACTGTATCTGACCAGGTCCATCTGGAATGCATGTGAGATGGTCAGCTAAGAACGGATTTTTGTTCTTAGATATAAGTGCAGTTTGCTTGTGTGACATACATGATGAATGAAGACATGCTGATTGGCTTGGCCTGTGTTCTTGGGAATCACAAAATGGTAAACGTCTCAGACCCATATCAGTTTATGCTTTCCTCCCACAATAAGTACAGACTACAACTGGAACACCGCTGGAACTCACTCACGCACTCTGTTGACATGTACAACACTTATGACTACACAATACAATTTAGAAAGCATGTAACATGTTAAATTTGGGATTACGCTTTCTTAGTAAAGTACAAATTCTAGTACTTTTGGGTTGAGTCCAATCCGGGATTCGAACTCAATTCCTCAGAGTCAGGTACCTAATAGCTTGCACACAAAGTCAGACGCCTAACCCCAGATATAACATGTACAACTCTTGACAACATATCCAGGTGAGCTTACAGTGCCGGGAAACTATCAGCATATTCGATAGCCTCTGAAACTCATGGATCATTAAATCAGACCTGCCTGTAATTCCTATCCAAACTTCATTCATCATTTCTGTTTCGTTTACACAGAACACAGTAGTTCACAGTAGTTCACAGTAGAACGTTGTGACAAAACTATCACTCAGAAGCTCAGTTACAAGATAAGATACACGAGGTTCCTTTACCGTAAACAAGGTAGGTTCTTACTCACAGAGAACATCCAGTACATGTCTGTGACTCCAGTTAGACTTCAGGCCGTCCTCCACAGTCTGGCAGCTGTATATGTCTCCCTGGTTCTCTCTGCTGACGTGGGTTATTGTCAGGTCATCTCCACCTGTAGGAGACCCATCACCAGATTCTACCCGGGTCCTGTCCATCCTCCAGATGTAGGTCAAGGTCAGTGGGGGGATGGTCCGGGGGCAGACTCCGGGAGGAGGAGGAGCATGTCAGGGTGACATTCTCACCTGATACAGGTGAGGCAGGTCCGGTGATGGTAGGTCTGGTTGGCTTCTCTGTTAACAAATATAACAAATGTGCTCAGACGGTAAAAATTCTTTCATACTTGTATTTATATAGCGTTAATCATTTTTATCTATCAAATGTTCAATAGTTTGTGCGTTCAGTCGTCACGTCGAAGACCCGGGGTCGATTCCCCACATGGGTACAATGAGTGAAGCCCATTTCTGATGTTATCCGTCATGATGTTGCTGGAATATTGTTAAAAAAACTCACTCATTCACTCACTCACTCAGTGTTCCACAGTCAGTGTTCCACATTTTCAGCAGGGAATCCATGTTGGCTGGATCTTAATACTCCTAACCGTTTTGTTGATTAAATATGATAGTTACAACACAAGTACTGGCTGCCTCTACTGAAACGAGTTATTTGTATTTTCCGGAGAGAGGTAGGTCGACGGTGTCACTACCAGGTGCGTTATAACAAATGGCGTTAATAGATGCAAGACTGATCGACTCGGATACACTCATCCATGTTAAACTGCGACACTGCTTCTTTGTCGGTGAACAAGCATAGTTCATATACAACACACACATGCATACAACATATACATACATGCATACAACAAACTAACTTATGCATTCAATACAGACACGCATACACACGCAAACACACATACGCACGCACGCACATACACACACATACATACGCACACACACGGATCCATGTCGCCATATACACAATAATTTACACACACACGCACACACACACCATTTCACCTCACCTAAAGTTCTTCTTCTGCAATAGATTGAACAGCTGTTTATTGACGTTGGAGATACATTCTTCAAATAATATTCTGTTAATTCCATATTCTACTCACGTGCTGCAACGAGGACCTGTCTACATCCAGTAACATTCTGTCATTTGCTTCCTTGACAGTAGTAAGTACCAGCGTCCTGTACAGTAACATTGTAGATGGTAAACCTCAGCTGTCCGGTCTGTGATGGTGAGTCCTCCCTAGTGTATCCCATCCTGGTCGTGAAGCCGGTGTGAGTGTTGTTGAGTACCTCTACACGGTGTGACCTAGACCGGACTAGTAACAGTCTCACAGCTACCGAACCATTCACCCTTACGAAATATGGGAAGCCGACATTCGCTGGGTTCATAGTTATGTTCACATCGTCGCCAACACGTGTAACAGTGTGTTGGTATCCAGTTGTCATGCAGGCAAGACCTGCACTCAAAACAAATATTCGTCATTAAAACAAGGTTAACAGTTGACATAATTATTCAAGCACATTATTAAAGTCAGCTCAATATAATACTAGTTGACAGATACATACCACACAGATATACACCCCCTACCTCCCCTCAAACATAATTTAAGCCAGAAACAGAAAGCGTCAAAGTATTTAGTTTCGCTCAATAATACTTTTGGAAAAAAAGCTAGTCACTTATAAAACGTGATGTAAGCTCAGTATAATGTAAGGTTCTTGTCAGTTGGCAGATACATACCACACACATACAAACCCGAAAACAAAATGTAAGCCAGGGACATTACTACTAGCGTGACAGGTTCATGCTGACACATCACGTACTTTGACACTTGTTTTTGAGCGTCAAAATATTTAGTTTCGCTGGACAATATTTCCCGAGAAAAAGCGGGTCACTTCCCGTTGGACTTTAACATATACCTACGAGCTAACAGTCAGTAAGTAGTAGTTTACATTCACGAAATCGACAGACAAATAACGTTGATGACAGGCGTCTGTCTCGTCGACCAAGGGCGACAACTCCAAGCCTGTTGGGGGCTATGTGGGTGTGAGGAGAGACAGAGGGGGGAGAGCGAGAGAGAGAGAGAGATAGAGACAGACAGACAGTCAAAGACAGAGAGAAAGAGGCTTCATCTGAAATATCGGAGAAAGAGAGAGAAGGGATGTCAGGACGACGAAATTGGACATGAGCTCCACAGAGCTACGAAGCGGTGGATGGGGGTGGGTGGAGGTTGGGGTAAGCCTTAAGGTTAAAGCGTTCGCTCACGCTGAAGACCCAGGTTACATTCCTCACATGGGTACAATGTGTGGAGCCCATTTCTGGTTTATCCCCACCGAAAAATTGCTGGTATATTGCTATAAGTGGCGCAAAACCTCACTTACTCACTCACGCACGCACGCACGCACGCACGCACGCACGCACGCACGCACGCACGCACGCACGCACGCACGCACGCACGCACGCACGCACGCACGCACGCACGCACGCACGCACGCACGCACGCACGCACGCACGCACGCACGCACGCACGCACGCACGCACGCACGCACGCACGCACGCACGCACGCACGCACGCACGCACGCACGCACGCACGCACGCACGCACGCACGCACGCACGCACGCACGCACGCACTCACTCACTCACTCACTCACTCACTCACTCACTCACTCACTCACTCACTCACTCACTCACTCACTCACTCACTCACTCACTCACTCACTCACTCACTCACTCACTCACTCACTCACTCACTCACTCACTCACTCACTCACTCACTCACTCACTCACTCACTCACTCACAAAGTTACAGGTGTTGGCCAGACAGATTCGAAATCGGCTACACAGATTCGGCGACACGTGCGGGTGTCGTCACGTTTTCACACCCTTAAAGCAACCCGAAGCTAAGCCCCATGCGTGTGTCGGGAGCCAAAACAGCTCAGATTTGATATCACAAGGGGTCTTATCTCTGCATTAAACAACCAATCAACGATTGGCGCTTTCAGTCGTAATTCCCGTCACTTGGTTGGCTTCCATGTCTCACTCAGAAACCCTCGGAGTAGGCATAACAATCAAAACATCAGAGCAGAGCTTGTGTGCCCCACCCAAACAAGTGCCTCTGCAAACATGACACCAATCAAGGCTCATTTGAAGACAATGTTGTGAGTAAGAACTCACCATGAAGCTACTTTAGGAATGTAATTGTGTTTATCTTGTGTGAACGTAACCTTTAGTAACAAACAATAAGAAGTAAATATCACAAAAACCGAGTCTCCGTTTTCTCTCCACATGGAAATATAGACAATACCAAAGCTAATCGCAGCGATGAAAACGTTTTATTCATCCTTCCGGGCAGCATCAAACCAAGTACAAACATTCACCATCACGCCAGGTGGAATTAAAGACGATATCCAGGAAAAACGCAGCAATAACAGCGATTTATTTCATCTTTCCAGACAACATCAAACTAAGTGCAAACATAGCAAAATTGAGTTCGGCTTCACACCAGGTGGAATTAAAGACAATACCAAGGCTAAGCGCGGCAATAGAAACGTTTAACATTCACCACCACGCCAGGTGGAATTAAAGACGACATCCAGGCAAAACGCAGCAATAACAACGTTTTATTTCAAACTAGGTGCAAACATAAGAAAAATGAGTTCGCCATCACACCAGGTGGAATTAAAGACAAATATCCTAGCTAGTTCGTAGACAGTGAAAACATGTGCCCCTCACCTGGAAACAATACCGACTGAATTTTGAACCAAGTGTAGAAAATCACTTGAGCCAAGGATTATATTTCAGTTTCATGTGCCTGACTGTACCTCGATGTTTACCCCTCTTTATTTTAATAGTATTATTGGTTCTTTGTTTCGTGTTGTTATTGTTTATTTTAACCTTCTTTGTATTAATACATTTTAGCTTTAAATTTATGTTATTGCGGTTTGGGTTAGTGATTTAGCTTAAAGAGAAGGCCGTAGGCTTTAGTTTTAATTTTATGTAATTTCGGTTTTGGGCTAGCGTTTTAGATTAGAGAGAGAAGGACTTATTGCCTTTTCACGTTAATTTTATGTTATATCGGTTTTAGTTTAGAGAGAGACAGTGTTAACTTGTACTTTTATCTTTGCATTCCCCATTTGTATGACCAACATGATAAGGACGAAGCATTTGTGCATCACAGTCATATACCCACATGGATAACCATAGCTCACGAATTCAATACCCTAACAATTGCATAATGGACAGATAATTCAAACATGTCAGCACAAATAAATAGTAC